TCATAAATGTTGAACTCAACTTTATCTCCATCAAATTCCATTGTTAAAGCTGATCCGCTAAAGACATCAATTTTTGCTCTAGCGATCTTTAAAAATGGCCTTCCTAAAATGATACGAACCACATTCTTATCATTTTCCATTTCTAAAACATAAAAGTCGGCAGGAAATATCAAATTGTCTACCATAACTAGTACATCTTCGACAATTCCCTTAGGGTAAGCATTTGATCTATCCGCAAGTTGAATAAGTACCCCGGTTTCATTTAGAGGACCAAGCTCAAGTGATTTATATAAAGAATAAGGAATGACATTAATTGACGCTCTTAAATCTAGCATGGCCTTTGAAAACGTGGTGCCTCCCAACTTATAAGGTATAGTGAACATGCCCAGGTCATTATATTTCTTTAAGCATTTCTTTTGAAAAACTGCTTAAACACGTTGACTAACTTATACTTTTTGTTTTCCATCGAGTCTATGTTTCCTTTTGATTGTACATAGCTCTTTCAAAAATTTAACCCATTACTATGTAGTTCCCAAGTCGAGGTAGATTCTTATGGGGCACCCCTCACAGTTCACTACGGCAGTGCAGAGCCCCACTACTGAGCGGTGGATGGACATGAGGGGTTGCACCACATCCTGGTGCCAACAGGTTGGGCGGTTAAGCCCTGAATCAAAGAGTGGTGCTGATCTACCATAAGACCAATAACTATTTTTAATATCGTGTGCCCGACGATACCTTATAAGCTCTAAAATAGCAAAGACTGTAATGGTGCACTAATCTGCAAAGATTCTAACTTTCGCTCTATGAATGCCATTAAGTGGCGCTTACCTTTCAATTCTTGAGTCCCCATAGGCAGCACATGATCTTCATAAACCTTATCAGCACAGAAGTGAAGGATGAACCTCACATCCTCTTTGAGTGGACAAAGAACATGAGTCAAAACTTTGATTGCTCTAGGCATCACCGGAAGCTCAAAACATGCCTCTAAACAAAGAGCTGGAGCAAGACAATACTCAAATTCCACTGTAGGAAAATCTTTTACTTCCTAACAAGTATCATGAAAATTCACAACATCTCCTCTAAACTCTGTATCACTCCCCAAGTGAGCATCCCAACTCTCATTAACATTGTTCTCATCAATGTCTTCTTGGATGATGTTGTCACTCTCCACACAAAAAGGAATATCATAAAAACTGAGTGAATCAAAGAAATCCAAATCAGAAACCACGTAAGAGTGGATCAGTGCATGTGTACAAGAGGTGTAATCTTGCTTGTGGGGCAGGACTTCTTCATTATGGACATCATCTACCTCGCCCCCACTCTCTTGAAGCTTGTGATCATCTTCTTCCAACTCATCATCAATACTCAAACCTACTACAGTAACACCATCATCATGAATGATATGTTCCATGCCCTCACTAGGTGTTGAGACTAATGATAAACAAACGGCTGGAGAGTTTCTATACGAAAATCCCAATGAATCACATCTCCATCGATTTCAACTTGTACTGTTTGAAGCTTTTGCATTAATTGTGTGCATTCTTGGTACACAGACTCGAGACTACTCTCTTTTTGTTGAAATTCAAAGAGAGGCGAAATTTCAGAAGCATCTGGAACTGTATCATCCATCATATTCCCACCTTCGCAGTCTGACTCACTCCCATAATCATCCCTCTTGGTCTCCTCAGTTTGAGCTTCTGCCGGATGATCCACCATGCTGATTAGATTCTGCATTTGGGTTGTGACCTGCATGAGTGTCTCTTCCAAATCAGACAGCTTCTCTGAAATTGTCTACTCCAATTGATTATGTCGCTAATAACTCGACAAGGATGTAGGAATGGCTAAAACATTTGTGTTCCTAAATAGTAAGGATGAAGAAGTGGGTTATGCAGTTGCGCGGTAAGGATGGTCATATGGAGGAACAGGGCAAAGACATGAATGATGACCTCCTCCATAGAAGAAACAAATGATATTCTTAGGAAACGTAATCAGTCAATTCCTGAGGAGTTTTAGTCTGGATAAGATATTCAAGAATGGAGCCCGGTCTTGCCCTAGGATATTGTGAATGGAGCCTAGTCTTGCTTTAGGAGGGTAAGAATAAGAAGACTGAAAATTTTGTGGTGGGAAAGGGTGATATTGGTGAGATGTGTAATGAGGATATGGTGTTGATAGAGTATATGGGCCTGGACCCCATGGCCCACATACTCAAGTCAACAATAACCAGAAGAACGTCCACGTGCCCCCCCCCCCCTTCGGCCAGTGGGCCCGCATCGGCCAGAAACCAAACCGGCCCAGAAAGCACAACTGAACTTCCGGGGCCGCGTCGGCCCATGGACCGCATCGGCCAGACTTCGTCCTGGCAGAATACATCTCTACACTTTATTTACTAAGTATTGTACTCAACCCATTAGTGGCCCTATTTCGCCCAAAGAAGACATGATTATTGTAATGGGCCTCCTAAGCCCATGGCTAGGAGCCCAAATCCACATTTTTACTTATAAATAGACCCCTTGGGGCTAGTTATAGGGGGTTGAAAAATATAATTACTCACTTTCTCTCTCTAGCTCTCACTTCTCTCTAGAATTAATACTCTATCAGGTGTATATGGTGAAAATTCCATGGAAGGTTGAGGGTGAGGTGTTACTCCATGAATCGAGATGATTGGGTTCATCTCATCCTACAAAAAACCTAAAAACAAGTGATTGAAATTAATTAACCCTTAAAACCGACACCGTCCACGGCAACGACGCCAAAAACTAATATGAGTTTTCTCGCACTAAAAAATGTAGTAATATAGTGGCGAAAGTACGAATATTGTCTCCACAGGGACGGGCAAAAGAGGAATAAGAATTAACTAAATTCAACGATAAAACTAAAAATAAAATAAAATAAAATACAATGGTTCGAGATTTGATTGATTGGAAACTTAAAATGCAATTAAATGATTAAAAACATGGTTTCTAATCATTTAAAGAAAATGATTGTATTGCTGAATGACTGTATTGGCTGATTCATGGCTTGCAGTAACTCCGCGATGCTTTTTCCTCACGCACGATCATGCCTGACTTTGAGGGCACGATCGTTCCTACTTAACTTCCGAATTTGGCTATGCTTTCTTCATGAAAGTTGTATATAATGAAGTCCTCTATCCATCCCAATTTGCCGAATGTGATTTGAATCATCCAATCAATAGATATGAATAAATTGGTGGAAGGTCGCATTCTGAAATCGCAATAATGATAATCTGACTTCTTTGTCTGTTTTCACTTTCCTCCTCTTAGATTCTCGCAATGGCGTCTTCATATGATTTGTAGCCCTTGAAGTTGGCTTTCATATGGAATTTGGATCGTGTCTTTTGGATGTTTTTACAAAATGATATGCATGAATGATTGACAGAGTGTCATCTTGATCGCCTTTGTCAAGCTTTATTTATCTTGTTTTGATCATATAGTCAATCCTAGAGCTCTTTTATCATCATATTTCATCGTTAACCTTTCTGTGACCTCCAAAGATCTCAATTGAATTCACTCTCAAATGCTACTCAAATAGTGCTGGACTCGGGCCGGTTCGGGCCTGGGCCCGGCCGGGCCTCGGGCCAGGAAAGGGAGGCCCGAGCCCGAACCGCCGGTGGCCGGTTCCGGTCCCGGTTTCGGGCCAAACCGGGCCGGGCCGGGCCGGGCCGAACCGGCCCAATTAATTTTTTTTTTTTGTTCTCCTATTTAATCCCCTACCCCTCCCCCTCAACCCCAAACCATCCCAAACCACCTCAAATGGCCCAAAATACCTAATCCAACCTAAAACTTAAAAAAATTTCAAAAAAAAAAAAAATTAAAATCCGGCCCGGACCGGGCCCGAACCGGCCGGGCCGGTTCACCAAAACCTGGGCCCGGGCCCGAACCGCCCAGCAGCCGGGCCGGGCCGAACCGAACCGGCGGACCCACCGGGCCCCGGGCCGGGCCGGGCCGGGCCAAACAGTAACTGGGCCGGGCCGGTTCCGGGCCGGGCCGCCCGGCCCGAGTCCAGCACTAACTCAAATTGTCCCGATTGCTTCTTAAGCGCCGATGCTAAGCTCAAAATCCCTAATTTTGACTTCAACAATACAAAACTCGAACCAACACCCGATAAAATATGACGTGAACTAAAAAAGGGACTTATAACACCTTAAAGCTAGGAAAATATTCAGAAGCCGATCTCAACACGCATCAAATGCGTGTCAAAATACGGACTTATCAATAAACAAGGCCTTTAATGAGCAATAAATTAGATATTCAGCCATTAAAAACAATCATGGCCCTCACCGCAACTCTTACGATGCTCGTCCTACTTCGAGGCTCATCCCATCATCATCTATAATATTACACCACTTGCACCAATGCTTGAAAACAAGTGACAACATTGTTAATTAGCCAATACAACATAAAATTTTGCTCGAGGCTGACCAGAACGGTTCAAGCTATGTTGGATTTCCTAATGGACTGCACAGCTCGTCCAAACAATCATGCAGAAACGAACGAAGAGAAGAAAAGAAGGTGAGAATTTTATAGCTTGACGCTGAAGCGCCAAGGGATGCTAGGGACAAGGGTGGATCCAAGAATGAGGGGTGGGGTGGGCTAAGCAATGGGAACCCTGGCCCCATACCCCTAGTAGCATTCAATGACTCAAAAGAAGATAGATAAAGGTTAACAATTTGTTGAGTTCATATATATTTCTCTCCACTTGAGAAACAAAGCCTATATTTTTCTTATTTGATGTGTCTGTCAAAAAAGTTATATGAGATGGAGCTAGCTAGTAGTTTATACTACGCATTAGACATTTTTACAGCAAAATAACTGGAACAAATGTGATAGTTGAAACTCAATGGTGATGAGATGGGCATTGAGACAAGAGGGAACAAGATCCCTTATTTGGATCCGCAGACACCAACTGAGAGGATTGCCGAACCCTCTCGCTGTACGTCCTCAACACATTATTAACTAGAGTTGAATTGAAAAACAAAACATCAGATCAGTAAAGATGGAATTTGTATTTTAGGGAAAAAATCATGGTGGAACTGGCAGACATACGGAGTGATAAATGCAATACGGAGTACATACGCTATTGATGCATACATACATACATACATCAAGCGCGCCGCATGCATACACAGAGGGCTATAAATTCCGGACAAGCTTGGCAAAAAGTTACTTGCAGCGCGCAGATATTTTAGAGGTGAATGCTTTTATAGGATCGGAAATACATCCGGCCGGCGGCGGGCCGGTCAGCAACCACAAAGGAATACATACATACACACACACAGAGGACTATATATACATACAAATAAATCCGGCCACGAGCTGAGCTAGAGGATTGGTTGGGGTGGGACCGGATATGCCGAGGGCGGACAGAGATGCTCTGGCAGTAGGGCGGGTTGTAGGGGATGTTCTGGAGCCCTTTACCAGGTCCGTAAACCTTAGAGTGACCTACGGCGATCGAGATGTCACCAACGGCTGCGAGTTCCGGCCATCTCTAGTTGTTAGCCCGCCTAGGGTTGAGGTTGGCGGTCAAGATCTTCGCACCTTCTATACTCTTGTAAGCCCAATTCTACCCTCTACCCTATCTATCTACTCCCTTATTCCATGGATCACATGTTCGGTTTGCTGCCTTAATTTACCCATTTTTCAAGAAATACTCCATTCTACTACTTTCAACTTCTACTATTTTGGAGACATTTTCTACTCTATTGATCACCTAAACCATCTCCAATGCTAAAATATGTACAGTACATATGTAGTATGAGAGATAGTTACATAAATATTTCAAGTAGCAAATAAATATATATGACATGTCACATGAGAGATAACAAATATTAGCAAATAAATTATTTTTCTCCTTATTTGAAAGGTTTTGTACAATTTTAATAAGTTTTTTCTACAATGTCAAGAAGGTCATCTAGATGTTGACATTTTGATTGACTTCTCATAAAAAACTTACCAAAATTGAATAAAATTATTTGAATAAGGAGAAAAATAATTTATTTGCTAATATTTATGTGACTATCTCTCGTACCACATATGCACTGTACATATTTTAGATGCTCTAATCACCGTCAAATTATCATCCTTTCATATTAAATAAATAAAAACACACCATTACAGTTACCGTGATTACCCCAAAATCAATCACTACCCCAAAATAGCTCACATTACCATGCATTCCTTTTATACTTTTATTTTATTAAATATATATGGAAACAAATCTGAAATACGAGGAAAAACATCAAGAGTATTAAAATTTAAAAATAGAAGTATTAAATTTTTATTCAATAAATAGGAATGATTACTAACAAATATTCGCATATTGTCAAAATATGATAATAATTACGGAGTACTACATAGTACCAGTATTATTTATTTAGAGAATAAAATATAATAATCCTATTACTTTCAAACTTACAAACATTTTTACTCCTATTTAGGAATAAATTTTGTCTCCCATTTATCACAATTTCTTCATATGTTTCTCATTCAACACACTTCCAATAGTTATTTGACTACATTTCTTTTCTAGCTATATTGGTTTTAATTAGGGTTTTTTTTTCAATTTCGGACTTCAAAGGTAAATTTAAGTCTAGGACTCAGAATGATATTATGTATCAATTTAAGACTAAAATGATTAAAAATTGTCAACCAAAGATTTTAAAACTCAAAGATAACAATTTTTTGTACAAATTTAGTTTATTTATATAGACTATCAGTGAACTTTTCTTAATGAATGTTTAATAAATTTTAACAAAATAAATAATATTAAAATTGAAAGTCATTGAAAATAAAACAAACATCCACATATTTTAGGTTCTAGATTGATAGAACTCAATATTTGAAACTTATACTAACATTTTCATTTTTCATGTCCTTAATCGATAGTTTCATTATCTTTTGAGTTTTGAATTGAAGAAATTCCCTGATATTGTCAATTGTCACCCTTAACACGTGTTAATATTATACTCCCTCCGTAACTTTAAAATCTTCCCATTTCAAAAGTAGGTAAATTAAGAATAGTGAAAGATGATATGAATTATTTAGGGTATGATGGGAAAATAATAGAATAATATGGTGGAATGTATGATAAATCCAAAAAAAGTAGTTGTAATAGTGTATTATTTTAAAAATTATTGAGGGTATGATGAGAAGATTTAGAAATGGGAAGATTTTTTTGTTACGGACGAAAAAGGAAAGTGAGAAGATTTTTATATTACGGAGGGAGTACATAGTAGAGTGATACTATCAGGTCAGCCTAACATAACTCATTGTCCAATCAAGGTCATTTGGAGCTCTTTCCGGTGAAATCTTTTATGCAATTTCATTGTTTCATCAAATTGATATATATATATATATATATATATATATAATCGACGTAGTGTATGAAATGAATGTTATATGATCAGATACGCATATCGGTTCATGAATACGGGTATCGGAAGTATCTGTATTTTTAAAAATAAGCCTATACCTTTATTAAATTACAAATACGGACCCAACATGTACGGAACACGTATCAGTGAGTATCGGTATCAAATATGCGAATACGACATCGGTATAAAGTATTGGTGCACCATAACTTATAGCATCCTGAGAATTTTTTGAAGCATGGATGGTATTTTAAATGAGAATTTATTACGGACCATACATCCCATATGCAACAATAACACGCCAACCATGCCAATCCCGAATGCTCTAGAATGCTCCAGATTTTGTCCCAAATAGACCTAATTTGGTACCAACCCAAATTGAGTTTAAGCCTTTAAGGGTATGAATCATACTCTATATCCATTCCCAATTAAGTTTTATATGTTGACATTCAGGGTCAACATTCATTAAATTTGACCATTAACCGTCCAAAATCATACTCCCTATTAACTACGGAGTAGTTTTCAAACGCCTGCTGTGTATGGGTAGTGGAAATGATTAAAATAAATCAGTCATATGTTAACATTCGTTATAAAATAAACAAAATGAAAAATTTTTTCGTACAACACTTCCTATAAATTATTTCAACTATATGCCACATTTTGGTATGCATGATTGGTTGGGAGAAATTTGACTTTGTACTCCATATTTTATGTAATATTTGACTTTACACTATATTTTCAAAATCGTTAATACGTGCACCCTTTATTTGCTATAAAATCATTTGATTTTACATTTTACCCGTCACAATTTTTGAGTTGATGGGATGCATATATTAATGATTTTAAAAATTCACCCTTTATTTGGTTATAGACAATCATTGTCGCAAAAAAATCGGTAGTCTTTACAGATGACCAAAGGGAAACACTACACTTTGTTGATGAATTATGAAAATACAATTGGTAAGTGTATCAATTAAATGTATGGAAATAGTATTAAAATATGGTAATTCCATTTATTCTAATTTTTTATCATATTTTTAAATGCAATACGGAGTATCATATGCTTAAAAATTGATGTAAATAGTCACAATATTTTTCAATAATATTACTAAAATGAAATTTATTTATTAAACTATATGATTAAATTTACTATACATATAACATCATGGTCATTTAAGTATAAGTATGAACATAAATTACTACGAATATTGTTACTATTATGGTTACTTCACTTCAAATGCCACTTTTTTTCAAACAATCTTTATTTTTATCATTATTATGCAATTATTTTAAATGTTAATTACTTAAATATTTCATTAAAAAAATCATCCTCAAAAAACAAAATAATCCCCAAACTCCCTTTGTATTGTTAATAATCTTGCACATAGTTCGATTAAACAACAAATTTAAGGGCACATTTGGTAATGTTAAATTTGATGGATCTTTGGAAATTGATAAAATTCTCACAAAAATATTCAAAATATATTTTATTAAAAAAAGGAAAAATAAAACTATATGAAAAAAATAGTTAAAATGATCCTTTATGGTAATTTCATAGAAAAGTAACTTAGCGCTTGAAATTAAAAATTACATATTTAATAATCAAGTTACTACCAAAATGGAGATTATCAGATGGATTCTCAAAACCACGTAATTTGATGTTCCTATTAAGCGTACAAATAAAAGTGTCAAGGTACCTAAGTTATACTTAAATTCTATACATTTTTTTTAATATGACAATTAAATTGTTTTTCCAATATATTAGGTACATGCTAATTATAGGGGAAATTCATGACACATAAGTAAAAACAAATTGAAATTTTAAAATAAATGTACTGCATTTTCTCCCAAGTATACATCATTCTTAAAAAATTATTGTCATATTTCTTAAAAACTACTCATATATATTTAGGAAACACGTAGTAAAACATAGTGTCTTATTTTGAAAATTCAAAACATTTTTACTAAACATTTAGAACAATTTCTTTTAATCATAATAAAGGAAACTTGGATGCATTCTATGAGGTTAATGCGCCGAATTTATATGTCATAAGGGTTCCTGCATTTAATAAAATGAGTAATATTTTTAGGTAATGATGAAACATGGACACGACAAATAAAATGAATACAAATTGTAAAATGTACCCAGTAGCAAATAATTTTGTAAAAGGCATAGAAAAATAACAAAACGAAATAGTTTAGAAAACATATTGATTGTAAGAAGGAAAACAAATCAATAAGTTTAGTTGATGAAAAATAAGTGTAACAAATTTGGAGAACGTACCAACAAGATTCAGAGAACCGTTAAGATTTAAATGATAGTTACACAGTATTATGTTAAGAGGTAACATGTGAGCATTGTTCCAAAATACTTTAATAATAAAAATGATAAATGCTTGTATATACTATGTACAATATAAAAAGAAGTCCATACTTTCACTCAACAGGAGTAATGAAATTTTAATTTAATGTTTTAAAGTAGGAGTATTACGTTTTGTTTTTTAAATAGGAATAATTACTTTTATGTTTAGAAAATACAGCCATTGGTGGAGTTCACTATCATATTTAAAGTATGACAATGCTAAGTATGAAAATAAACTTTTCAACAAGGAAGATAGATACTCCTATTTTGGGTAATAAAGTACTCCGTGTAGAACACTTATTTTGAAATTTTACATTTTTTTACTCTTGTTTTGAGAATTTTCCCTATTTAATAATCCAGGTGTTACTACATACTTTACTTAAATTTTTTGAATTACGTAATTATTTACGTAATTAATACATCTAAAAATAACATCCAAACCTTAGTTCTAACAGAGTTGGGATAGGCTGAAATGGATTAATACATGAAATCGAAGCTAAAAATACTTACTAGATTGGTACTCCGTATACATTAAAATTATGTAACACGTATTTTCCTTGAAGATATCCGCGTCATCTACATACGTGCAAGTTTGTCTTGGAAATACTCGACATGTCTCTTAATATTTGGCAAAGTTTGACTGACAAATACTGCGTACCAGTAATAGAGTAAAAATCGTGCTAGGGAGATAGAATTAAGAAAACACAAATTTTTTATTTAAAAGAGAAATTGACAAAGTTAGTGTAACAACCTAAAAAAGGAAATGAAAAATACTAAAGGTACCCCAATGGGTATCCCAATTTGTACCCACATCCTATTTTTGTGACTCACAAAAGCACCTCATTAAAGTGGGGCAATTCATTTATTGAGGTGGGCTTTTGTGAAACACTAAAATAGATTGGGGTACAAATTGAGGAAATTAACAAAGTTTTATCATAGAGTACTATGTAAGGAGTTACTAGTATACATTCATAAAAACATGTGGTCTCATAGAACAACATATCAGTTGTGTATAGAAAATAAGAGAACTGTTTGGCCTTAAATTTTTCACAAAAGTTTTGATGAAATTTTTTGAGCATAATCCTCATTCATTGTAGATGATATCCACAAAATTTCAACTAAAAATTCAATCAGGAAGTCACTTAAATAAATTAGTAAGAAACATTGCATTATATATATTCATATATAAAGCACAGTACGGAGTATTATTTAAGATGAAATTTTCTGGATAATAATCTATACTTCATCAAAAATATGATCACAAATTTCCATCACCAATCCGGACTGATGAGATAAAGTACACATAAAATAGAAGTAAAATATATATATAGTACACATAAAAACACAACAACTATGTTATCTAATTCTATTTAAAAACATAAGAGTGATTTTGTTTGCTTATACATTTGAGAAGTATATTATTTCAGAGATTATATAAAATTATTTGAAAAGTAAAATTTACAGCCTTTGGTGAAAAGGTAATTTTTGTATAATACAAAAATTTAAAAGCAATTTAATTTACTTCTCCTTTGCTTTTAGCTTGTATCTTTCAGATGTTTAATTTAAGCAATTTTAATATTTTGTTTCTTAATTAATTAAGGTCATGATAGATCCTGATGCACCGAGCCCAAGTGAACCCAGCCTGAGAGAATACCTGCACTGGTACGTAATTAAACCATTTTTGGACCATACTCCATTCTAATTATACATTATTACTTCAAATCATACTTATCTATGCCATGTACACATGTAAATATATAATAGTACACATACATACAACTAATACCACTTTGGCATGTAGTCGTTTTATATACGCAAGTTTAATTAATAAGTCATGTCATTCCGTGTTACATGTCTATTTTTCTTATTAAATTGTCCTATTACATTTCTTTTTGGAAAGAAATTTGTGTTCCACATCATTTCACTTCATTATATTCAAATCTTAACTATAATTTTTTTTCAATTACTTTATTAATAATTGTGTCAAATAAAACAAGTCTCGTGAAATATAATGTTATTAACTAACTACAGGAAGCGGTCCAGCTCAGTTGGTCGCCGACTCACTTTCCCTCATGAGAGGTCTCGGGTTCGAAACTCAATAAAGTGAGTTTCAACCCAGAATACTTCAGGCCCCCGGCCCCCTCCCTGGAATAAAAAAAACAATTCACTCTAGTATAAATCATAAACAATTTATAAATATTTGTCATTTAATTATTCCCAATTTTAACTCATATCCTAAGCTATTCTCCATAAGACTTTTCAAAAGAATGTTTTACTATATACTACTTCGGCAACGTAAAGATCTTCCCACTTTCCGTTTTAAAGTTTGCAATTACTTCAACTTTAAAAAAGTGATTTTTTAAAGTGATTTTGTGTAAAGTGATTAATAGTAAAAGTTGGTAGTGTTTGAGAAAAAAGTGATTCTGAAAAAGTATAAGTTGGTAGTGTTTGGTAAAATAAGTACTTTTTGTTTAATATAAAAAGTGAAAAACAGTTTAAAGCACTCTTCCACCTACTTCCAGCTTTTAGCTTTTAAGTGATTAATTTAAGCAGAAGCTGTCATTTGAAAACACTCTTTTTAGCTTTTTTAAAGTCAAAACCTGAAAAGCACTTTTTTTAAGCAACCGCAAACAATGCTTAAGTTTGAAGATGTATAGACTGATGGGGAGAACAACAATTTGTGTATTTATATTTGATCTGTTTCAATATGAACAAAAAAAATTATTTGTAATACTCCGGCCCGAAGGGTAAATAGGTCTGGATCAGGAAGAAAAATTACTCAACGGATATGAATATGGAATTCATAGTTTATGCTCATATCCGACTCATTGACAAGCCTAAATGTGAACCACAAATTCTTTATCGAAAAAGAAAAAATGGAAGTTCTTTTAACATGGATGAAAAATGAAAGTTTGCATTAGCACAAACAATAAGTTTAGTGTACAATTTTTGTAGCATTGGCGCAACCGCGCAAGATGAACGGGTAAAAGCAGGAACTTGTACGGAGTACAAGAGATGAACGGGCAATTAACTTGCTAGGCAGAAATTGCATGTTAGAGATGAATATAACAAATAAAAGCAATACAAGACTAACCTCACTCAAAAACTAGATACGGGATGAATCTGCGTTTAGTACCATTTCCTATTAATAAAAAAATAGACTTCGAGGAAACATGGAAGAAAATTGAAAGAATGATCGATGATTGAAACCTGCTGCGCCCGTGTGAAAGTAAGAATTCTTGTGTGCTGAACTGGATCTCTAGTGCACACGGGTATAAGAACTAACCTCCCAGAGATCTTATGGGATCAGAGTGGGAGCTTTTTTTAGAGAGGGGTGGGAGCTTTTAGGGTTGAGGCTCGAAGAAAAAAATAGACTTGGAGGAAGGATGGGGAATCTCCTCCGCTTACTAGATGAACCACTAAAGTATAGTACGTAGTACTCCTTAATTATGAGAACCTAGCTAGCTAAACAAAACAGCCCGTATGTTTGTTGTCGATACCTGATTGGTCCGCATGTACGGACACCCACCCACCTGGTGCGTATACACAAAGCACGGAGAGTTCATTTCCCACTTTTACACGACAACTTTAGATTTCAGTTTTTCATTCTTGCCAATCAGTCAGTGAAAGTGTACGTGTTTGAAAAACTTTTTTTTGACAGCACGTGTTTGAAAAACTTAAGAGGGAATTTTCACCTTTTGGGTTAACAATGTTAAATGAATAATATCCTCTAAATTATCTTTCAAAGTACTTTTGATGTGAGATTAAAATAATGAGTATTGTGTGATATATAATTGTGTAAGAGAGAAAAATGTGTTAGAGTGTGTAAAAATTACTTTGAACCAAAAATTATTCACTAAATAGAAAAAGTGAAAATTATATTACTGAGTAAATATTATGCTATCTAGAGTAAAATAGTAAGAGCCGCAGATGGAGGAATGATTAATATAAATTTTCAAATTTGGAAGAATTACTTTGCACCCCACTTTTTGAGAGATATTAAACTTTGCACCTCGTTTTGAAAAAATTTTGATTTTACACCTCATTCCACTTAAAATTTCTTTGACTTTGCACCTCATTTAGAAATTTTTCTTCATAAAATGGTATGTGTTGGGGTGCAAAGTCAAAGTTTTTGGAAAAATGAGCTGCAAAATCTAATATCACCCAAAAAGTGCGGTGCAAAGTCAAATTCCCCCAAAATGTTCTTTTATCAAACAAAAAATGTTCTTTTATCAAACACTACCAACTTGATTTTAATATTAAATATTTATATTAAAATCACTATAAAAGTAGTTTTTAAAGTAGAAGTGATCAAAGACACTTTTATGTAGAGGTTATATATTTAATTACCCCAAATTCAAATTGTTCCAATTATTTTCAAGTAATTTAAAAAACTCACATTTCAATATTGTGCTTTGCCTATAAAAATAAAGTACAAAGATAATAAGTACTCAATTTAATACGGAGTGGTTCTCATTCTATGAGGTTCTCATACAAACCCTTCCAAATTAAATATACATAAATTATACTCCATCTAAAAAATATTGACCAAATTTGCTTTTTTGGATGTTCCTAAATACTTTTACATTTTAATTTAAGTTAATAAATATGTAACAGAACTTGACTCTTTTATTCTGCGCAAATCTCAATAAAACGGTTTTTACTTTATTAGTTTATGTGCAAGTCAATTTCAGCTATAAATTATCGGACGATGGGGGTAACAATATATATCTTGAAATTTCAAAAACCCTTTCATTATATACTTCCTCCATTTTTTAAAACATTGATATTTTTCCTTTATTTATTGTTCCAAAACTTTATCACATAATTTTTAATCACATAAATTTTAATCACATAATTTTTATTCTATTATAATTCGTGTCGGTCAAACTTGATAAAAATTTTGAAGAAAAGAGGAATACTTTTGTATGCTCAAAATAGATAAAAAGGTTACATTACTTTATAAAATGTAAAGTAATATTAAAACCCATAGAAACGGGTTATACTTCAAGTGGACCTTTACATTTAATTTAGGAAAAGTTCTCGAAATAGGACTAAAACAATTTGAAAATAGGATTGCCATGTTTTTATTCCCAAAATAGGAGTAATTACTGTCAAGTTTGGAAAATACTGTCATGTTTGAAGTTTGGTACTGCCAAAATATGGCAGTAATTAGTCCTATTTTGGGAATAGAAACATGATATGGCAGTCCTGTTTTGGAATTTTCAAACCTTTTTAATTCTATTTCGGATAATATCTCTTTAATTTAAGGAAATTGTTTCAAACAAGAGTAAAACAAGATCAAAATTTAACAAAGAGAACTCATCATGTTTTATTTCTAAAAAAGAATTGGATGTACTTAGTCCGGCCAAATAAAACAATGAAACAATTTTAAATTTCACCTTTGGAGAGTAAACACATCTGATTTTAGGAAGAAAATAGTTATGGTTTGTGTGAAAGTGCACCTATTTTAGGAATTTCGAACCTAATGCATAATTATTTTATTTGTATGTACAGAACCTATTCATATGTACTCCGTATAAAATTCTGCCGTAATCAACCACTAGCACATACTCCGTATTACATAATTTAAATGTTGCATTTAAAATTATTGTAAATTAGGGTGGAGGTCAAACTAGTACGGAGTATAAAAGGCAATAGTATGTTTTACAATAAATAGATCAAAATGTAATGCGGGACCTACATTCTATTACGTAGTAATTAATATGTTTTACAATTTTTGTGTAAATGAAGTAATGTTGGTGAATATTTGATTATTTCAAGACAAATCGAGGCCTCAAATCTATAATAGAAAATACAATAGTTTAGGTACCAGTTCATTGAGTATATACTTTTCAGGCTCAAATCATGTCTAGAATACTACGAGAGTACGAGTAATACTCAGCATCTCATAACACCTATAAAAAAACATCTCATAACAAAATTCCAATTTTGAATTCACAAGTTTTTAGAAGAAAAAAAAAATCCTATTTAATTTTCAATTATGCCCATCCTTAAAAAGTAAAAACGGAAAATTAATAATTAATGATGTACTACGGAGTATGTGCTAGGAAAACTTCATGGGGATAACAGTGTAGTTTACCACTCAAAATTTCCAAAAGGATAACTAGAACCCAATTTAGAGTCTGAAAACGAAAGAGGAAATTCAATTGCCGGATGGAAGGAGTATAAAATTAAGAATACATATTTAACACTAATATTGGCTGAGTTTGCTCCAATTAAGTCTAGTTTGATCTAATTGTGAAACCAATAATCAAACTAAAAAATCGTACATCACTCAAGTGAATTTTAATAAATGTACACTAAGTAAATTTGAGCAGACTTAAGTGAATTCAGGTGCATATATAAGAATACACTTTATTCACTTATTTATGAAATTAGGATGTTTTTGTTTGGACTGTAATTGGTCCCAGACCAGACCAAACTAGTTCAGATCAGACCAGTTCAGACCAGGCTTGGATAGTTATAAAAATACAAAGAAACCAGATCTTACCAGATCAGACCAGACTAGTTCAGACCAAACCAGATCAGACCAAACCAGCAAATTACAATCCAAGTAAAAAAAATACTTAATCGAAATGAATGTAGTAAACATTAATATACTTGATCATTTGGATGATGTTTTAGTAAAATAAAACATATTAAATTAAAAATACTTAAAGAACTGTTAAGATTCGGGGTTCCATCCTAATAGATTAACCTGTTAAGAGAAGTAGCTCAAATCTTAATATAGTGTTTAATTCTTTAAGAGATATTCGGTGTAGGACTTTAACACCCTTCTTCACGATCAAACACTTTGTTTAGATTATGTCATCATTCATTTTTTTCATCGGTTCGTCATTGTCATTTTTTATAATCATGTCATCATTTTTCATAAGGGGACTCACACCATGGATCAATTTAAAACTCAAAGTTCCATCCCAAAAGATCAACCTGATAGGAGGAGTAGTCCAAAGCCTTATATTGTTTTATAGCTTTCCGATGTGGGACAAATACTTTACCGCGTCACCTCAGCCCGAACCGGGCTTGACAATATCCGGGTGTATAAATGGACCAAACACCCGTAAACAAGCGACCCTTAATCATGGGTGCTAAACAAGCAGTCAAACCACAACCGGAATTGGCTTTGATAGCATGTTAAGACCCGGGGTTCTATCCTAAAAAATCAACCTGTTAGGAGTAGCTCAGATCTTAATATAGTGTTTAGTTCCTTCAAAGACATCGGTATGGGACTTAAACAAGAACACTTGGGGAAGTTAAATGATAATCAAATAAGGTACAATTTAAATTAACCCCAACAGAATACTAATCAATCCCAAACAAAATGGTTCAAAAGGAAGTACGTAGTAGAAATAACTAAAACATCAAAGGTTGTTTGATAACACTGAAATCGGTTGAATTGACTGAACCAGTTGAAAATGATTAGTGTTGGATGAAAACAAGTTATCAATGCATACTCGGTATAAGATATGGACTAGGAATGGACGGGGACAGAGCAGGGCTACGGGCCGGGACTAGACGGGACTGGGCGGGACCTATACTAAAAATTTCAGGCCTGGTACCGGCCCGGGTTTGTACCGGGACCGGGTTGATCCGGGCCTAAATAGTTTCAGGTCAGGACCGGGACGGGATGGGCCTGTGAAATAAATTAAAAAAAGCGAGCCTGAAGCCCCCTATAGCCACTGGGACGAGACCGGGCCGGGCTCCGGACCCAAAGAGGACCGGGTGGGGCCTAAACGGTGTCGCGTCGGGACCAGGCCGGCCTGACGCGTCCCAGTCCATCCCTAATATAGACATAATCCAAGGATTTTAGCTATTATTCATAATTATAAGGTTTTTAGATTAGATAAGGTTTTTAAATTATAATGTTTTTAGATGAGAGCATATTCAATGCTACAATGTGCACATGTGGCATGAGAGATAACCACATAAGTATTAGCAAATAAATTATCCCTCTCCTTATTTGAATGATTTTATACAATCTTGGTAAATTTTTCTTAGCAATGTCAACCATAATGTCAACATCTAGATGATCTTCTTGACATTATGGAAAAAAACTTACCAAAATTGAATAAAACCTTTCAAATAAGGAGAGAGATAATCCATTTGCCAATATTTGTGTGGCTATTTATCATGCCACATGTGCACCGTGCACATCATAGCATTAGAGATGTTGTCAAGCAATAATATATGTACAATGTCAAACAGCACACAGCAATAACATTTCACTTCCGGTAAAAAGTCATTTATGGAAGTCAAAAACAAACTATGTCAAGTTTAAATTATGAACTTACTTAAAATAACAAAGATAATATACATCGTACTTCCTCTATCTCATAAAATTATTCTTGGTTTGACTAGAATCGAAATTTAAGAAAGCGAAAATGTAGATTCGTAATTGAATAAGAAAAGGTTCCTTCATAAAAAAAAGGTAAATGAATGTTAGTTATACACAATTTTCTAAAAAAGCAATGGGTAGAATTTTCTGAATTGGAAGGAATTATAACTAGGGGTGGGATTTTGGAACCGGGAACCGTAGAACCGATTGGAACCGAACCGTTAACAACATCTAGGAACCGAACCGTTAACAATTAATGCCTCATTTGTAGGAACCGAACCGAAGCGGGTTATAACGGTTCGGTTCCCGGTTCCTATAAAAAATATGTGCATGGAACCATTAAGGAACCGTTATTAAAAAAATAAAAAATAAAATAATATTAGTAGTAGTAGTAGTAACAATAATAATAATAATATAATAGCAATAATAACCACCACCACAACAACAATAGTAAAACAATATAAGATATTTAACTAACAATTCTAATTTAATCAACGGAAAAGAAGTAATAAATATTGTACATGAGGTTGATATATACATTAAACTCCTTTCTACAAATCAATTTTTGTTCCATCACATAAATTTTATAAATATAAAATAACCCAAATAACTTGTAGTTGATTGCACATATTATACTTTACTATTTTTATAATATTTCTAATTATTAGATTTATTATGAATCAATAGAATGTGATAATATTTTTTATATCTATACATGCAAACTCAATGTTTTTTTTTAATGTTTTGAAAGACTTGAAGTAGGTGTCCTATTCTTGCTACTATGATGACGAGTAACCTTCATCGCTCCGACACTACAACGATTTTTTATGTTTCATTTATTACATGAAAATTTAAATCACTTTTGTTCTATTAAGTGTTCAAAGTTCATTAGTTAAGTTTGAGCTTTAACATTTGAAGTGATTAGAGCTTCAAATAAAATTTTAATACTCGTGTTTTGAATTTTCGACGTGTTTAAAATTTTGTGTTAATTCTTAGACGAGAAAAAATTATTCTAGGAACCGGTAAAAGGAAGAACCGAACCGTTTACTACCGGTTCGGTTCCATAACGGTTCCTGATTTTTTATATAGGAACCGAACCGATTTCATTAGTTAAAACTTTTATAACGGTTCCACTCATTTTGAGTAAGAACCGAACCGGTCCCAGCCCTAATTATAACGAATACATGCACATTGCAAATCTATAATATATATATATATATATATATATATATATATATATATATATATATATATATATATATATATAGACACACACACACACATATATATACAGAAATGCTCAGGTCCATCCGGGGGGACGGGAGGCTCCGTCCGAACTTTACTGTTAAAGGCGGTTCCTGGTGGGACGGGAGGCTCCGTCCGAAATATATATTCTCTTTCTTTTATGTATTTCATATATACTCTGTTCACACTTATAGAGCACAATAAATGATATACGAGTAAAGAGTCAGTTTAGTCCTTGAAGTTGCAAAAAAAGGCGTCAAATAAGTCCTTATATAGAAGATTCTGTCTGGACGTGCCATTTGAGGTGGCTCCCGGTGGAATTTTGTGATAAATTTTTTTGATCATCTTATTCATTAAGTCTAGTTTACTCATACCAAATTTCAGCTAAAAATTCAATCGGGAAGACATTCAAATGAATTCTCGAAGATAACAGCGCTTTTAACAGCACAATTATCTTCAAGAATTCATTTGAATGTCTTCCCGATTGAATTTTTATCTGAAATTTGGTATGAGTAAATTGGACTTAATGAATAAGATGCTCAAAAAATTTCACCAAAAAATTCCACTGGGAGCAACCTCAAATGGCACATCCGGACAGAATCTTCTATACATGGACTTATTTGACCCCTTTTTTGCAACTTCGAGGACCAAACTGACCCTTATCCCAATGATATACACGTCCGAGAAGGTGAGCAACCAGCTATTGCGTGTAAGTGCATAATAGCAATCAACTCTTAACCATGCAAAACAAATTTGAAAACAAATTTCAATGTCTAAATAATGAGGGTGGAGACCGAGAGAGTCGACAGGTGCCTCTGCCCCTTCAAAAAATATTTGTTATGTGTATACATATATAAATATTTATAAACATTAAAAACTATAGTGAAATTTTAAACTTTTACTCCCAATATAAATTCCTAGCATTAAATAATTATATTAATGCAAAAAAGGTAGGGTAGGGAGGCCGGCCATTTGAGATGAACAAACTGATATGTTAACTGTAAATTCCCATGTTGAGCTATATGCTTATATCATATTGATTTTCTATTTCCTAAAAGATTTGTATGGGTTTTGTTTATCGTTTTTCCCCTGTGAAATATTGATACATGTTTTTAACTGTCGGGCATCCATAGGTTGGTAACTGACATTCCAGCGACGACTGGAGCTAATTTTGGTGAGTACCGTTACTTTCATACTTTCTGAGGTCATTTTATTTTTCAAAATTACAAAGTATATATGAGAGTTCACTTGCAAATCAAATCAAGCATGCATTTTGCTGATTTATTAATGAATTAATTTAGCATATAAATTAAGTTGGTCGTTTGTGCAAGTCGACTATTGATCATGAATTACATAACCCAATATTCCCTCTATTTGTGAATTATCTTTCAAACTTCTTTTTTTGCCAGTCCGAAAATAACCTTGTTTTCCCCTTTTTGACAAAATATTTCTTAATCCCGTGCAAAACGGACTTTGAAAGATACTTTAGGGATGGAGGAAGTATGCTACTTACATTTCACAAACAAAGAAATGTTTACTTCACAAATTAATAAACTATGTTTATTCAAACATGTTTTACAAGTTATAACTCCATTGTTTAATACTATGTACTACGTATACTTAATAAAAATAAGTTTACAATTTACTTCACAAGATCAACACATTTATTAACACATAGTTTAACTTTAAAATGTCAATTACAATCTTTAAACATCTTACCCCTCACTACAGTTCTCACCCCACCCCTACTTTGTACATCACTTCCAACTACCTACAACAACCCTTACTACCCAATACTCCAACCCTCAAAGCCCAAATTTCCCTACCCCATGGTTACAAAGGGCAGCCCTACCTCACCACAATACCTACCCCACCCCTATGTCCAATCACTCCAATCCTTTTGGGGTACGGTGGGGGTAGGGTAGTGGTAAAGGGTGGAGTAGTGGCAAGGGGTGGGAGTAGGAGTATAAGGGGGTTAGGAGAAGGGAGTAGAATGGCGAATGGTGTATTGGAAAGGGGTGGGGTAAATGGTGTACGGGGTGAGGATGAAGAGTAGGGTTTGGGTGTAAGGGGTAGAATAGGGTACTCAGGGTGGGTAAATGGGGTTGGGTAATAGGGGGTTGGGTGCGGGTTGGTATGGGGCAGGGATAGGTGGTAGGGTAGGTAGTAGGGTGGGTTTGAGGTAGTTAGTGTGGTATAGAGGTATAGTAGCGATGCACCGACAACTTTCATTATGTGATAGAGTGGTGTATACTTGTGGTGTATACTATTACACTTGTTAATGTGAACAAATCTTAACATTTTGCTTACTAAAATTTGGGGAGTGGGGTGCTTATTACTACGAACATTATGAACGTGTTTACTTCGCTACTAAAATCACCGTTATATTAGTAAGACACGTGAAACAACACACAGGCTGCTTATGAAGTTACTTACTAGCCAAAACAAGTGCTTAAAGTGACACTTACTGAACATACCGCCTATCATGTACGTAGTATTAATTAAGCGGCAGTTTAAACTTTTTCAGTTTCTGCATTTACCCTTTCCCTCACTTCTTGCCCTTGCCCTTACAATTACCCTCACCCACCCGTTCCTCGTACCCCTACCCCTTCCATTACCCTTACACATACCTTACCCCTACACCCACTACCATACCAGTAGGAGAGGGGTAGGATAAGAGTATAGGGCACGGGTAGGGGTAGGGGTAAAGGATAGCGGGTGTGGGTATGCGTAGGGGTAGGGGATATAGGTAGGGGTCGGGGTAAGGTGGGTTGAGGTAGGGGTAGGGATAAGAGTACGCGTACGGGTAGGGGTAGGGGGTAGGCCTCCACATATTATATATACTTGTGTAAGCAGTAATGCTTGTGTGCCTATATATGTATATAGAGTTATTTTGGACATTTCAATGTTAACCAGTGTTTTAAATCCAGTGAAGTAAACATGAGCTTATAATACTATGTGCTATTTATTTTAGTCACTGCTTATTAACGCAAGTGTTAATAAACACTGCTTAGTATCCTATGAAGTAAACATGTCTCAAGTCATAAAAGGTGTTTGCTAAATAGATATTTATTCAAAACAATGTTTGTTTCCTCTATTTTAATAAGCCAATAGTGAAATTAACTGAAAAGTAAACATGTGCTAAGGGTGTTGTTAATAGAATATATTTCAACCTCCCAAATTAAAGTTGATCATACTTTGATAGTTGTAAGATACACATGGAACTGACATCTTTCGATTAGATCAGACAAAACAAGAAGATTACAGTATAATTAAAAACATCATCAAAGTCAACATTAGACAATTAATATCTAAGAATATGTATATATAAAAAAAAACTTTCAATATTCAATAATCAATAATATATACTAAAATAAAGTATTGAAAACTATTTCAAGGTCACAAAGTAAAACAGAAAACTATCAAATAGGAAGGAGAGAGGGAGAGAGGGGGAGGAAATTGAAAGGAAAGGAAGGGGTAAACGAAAAAAAAGGAAGAGGAAATAAATGCCATGCGGTTGATAACTCGGAAACCTGATTCCATCCGGCTAAAACACTCAACTTACCATTTTTTAGAAGCTCGAGAGTTCAATGGGATGTTTTTTTAAGTATGAGGGTCTAATAATCATTTTTGCTATAGTAACGGTCTACATGATAGTTATCCCTAAAGTAAAAAGATATTGTAAAAAATTAAGTTCAAAGTTAATCACATTTGACTTGTAAAAATGTGAACTTAATTGTTAGGCGGAGGAACTACAAGTGCTATTAAATTAAATATATTTAACTTTGCAACATATATACCTTATCAAGGTGTCCATAAGGACACCTTCAAGACATATGCACTAAGCCTCCTGATTTAAATGTCCAAAATTTTGATTTAAATGTCCAGAATTTTGATTTAAATGTCCAAATTTTTAAAACAAGTTAGATAATGCTGAAATTGATTGAATTTGTTCAACCGATAAATCAAAAATGATGAAACAAAAATGATAGAGAAGATTTTTAATTAAAAGATTTGCTTTCATTTGCAAAACTAAACCCGTTGGAATCAGACTTCGCCGGCTCAAAAATTACCGGTGACCGGCTATGAAAATTCCCAGGTGTAGTCTCATACCTGTTTTGCTGGAAGAATCTCCTCTGGTAAGGCCTATTGAAGCCGGTGTCTTCTTAGCTTGCTAGATGATACCTTTCCATGTTGCAGTCTCGCCGGAGCAGAGAAGTATATTCGGCCGTCGCGTACTGACGTACATCTGGGTGACGCCGTCGTTGGGCCCTCGCGTACGGCCGTCGGACTCGCCGTCGCAGGAGGTCCCCCGGTGAAGCAACGCCGCTGTAAGAGCCCCGTCGTCAATGCAAGGTCTTCTTGTTCGCAGTGGAGAAGTCCCAGATCTGCTTGGGATCAACCTGAACAGTGATGGACCCAAAATATAGAACAGTACCTTGTTTCGCACGATCTGCCAAGGCCTGGAGCTGTTGCGCAGCTTCGCTTTTTAAGGCTGCTTCTGGGTCCCTGCGTCCGTCGGTGTACGTGGCACCGGAGCCGCCGGCCGTCCCAAGAATCGCCAAGAGGCACCGGAGTATTTAAGATATACTCCGTACATATTTGACCTAAAAATGACTCAAAGTAACATGTTCGACAAAAATGAGATATGTATACTCGATAACTATATTAATCACCTTTAGCAAATATAAATATGTAAACTTTTATAGGGTTCCGTAGAATGTCTTTTACTCAAGTACTACTTTCATCCCTTTTTATTAGCACGGAAGAAGGTGACACGAGTTTTAAAAAAAGTGAGTTTGTGTGGTTGATATCAATTGATAAAGTAAAAATAAATTAAGGATGATTTTGAGACACACAAATTTTACCAAATAAAGTATGAGACAATTAAATAAAAACATCCCAATATGGTAAAAACGGAACATTTAAAAAGGGACGGAGGAAGCACTACCTAACATTTCACGGAAAAGTTTATATATATGTGCTGATTTTTTTTGGGTGGTGGGGAAATATATGTGTTGATAAATTTGAAAGGGTTTAATGTGTAGTAAAATTAAATTTATGAAGGTTAAATGAGCTAAAAAGAACTGGACAGTTCAACAATTTTCCGATGAAAGGCAGAGTTGTGGTGGTAGAATTCCTATTCGACGGCAAATATGCATTTAATTATGTGTGGTGTGGTATAATGGGAGTAAATGGAGAGGCAGGGAGACAAAAGTTTTTAAGAGGTCAACTCAATACTTTTACATCACTTTCATTCCAATTTAATCCAATCCAAGGATAGATAAAGATATCTAAAAATGGTTACTTCCTCAGATTATTATATTTGATTGTTGTGGTAATAAAATGAGTTATTGCTTAACTTACAGGACAAGAAATAGTGCGGTATGAGAGCCCACAGCCATTTATTGGGATCCACCGCTTCGTGTTTGTGCTGTTCCAGCAGCTGGGCAGGCAGACCGTTTATGCCCCGGGCTGGCGCCAGAGCTTCCGCACTCGAGAATTCGCCGAGCTCTACAACCTCGGCTCCCCGGTCGCTGCCGTCTACTTCAACGGTCAACGGGAGACCGGTACCGGAGGCCGACGCCGTTAGTTCGCAATACATTATCGTAATAATAATTATTATTATTAATAATAGATGGCCGACGCGATTGTTTGAAGATTGTGCATTATGTGAGATCAAATATGAGTATATCCTCTTCCGTCGTCATAATTAATCACTAAGTAGCGACTGTGGGGTACAGTTATCTTCTATCGACTCTGTCTCATACTACGCTAATAGACGCAATACTACTACAATAATTGTTGTGATTATTGGTACGTAATAACTTTGTTATTTCAATTCCAAACACTTGGCTTCCAATTCAATACTGCACTTCACATTTGTTCAATTCCCACACCGAATTAAAGCATTAGGTTAAAGAATTGGTATAAAAATCTAATAATAAAAGAATATAATTAAAGAAACTTCTAAAAATGAAAAAATAGAGAATTTTGATTTTTAGAATTAAGATGGCAAAAAAAAAATAAAATAGATTTTCATGAAAAAATCGAGAACAAAGCTTTAAATCGTAAAAATTGTAATCAGTGTTTACTTTTTAAAAACACAGAATGTAAAATTGAATAAAGGAAAATAATACAAAATCATAACTTGTTAATACAAGTGGCCTTGGAAAAATAAATTGGAGAAAAGAAAAAAATAGTGAAAATAAATCAAAAATTGACTAAATATATCTTATTTAACTTTGGTACATTTTTAAAATTTTCATAATTATTTTTACATGTTTAAAAATATTTAGTTTTGAAATTTATAAAAACATTTCTATATTTTTCGAAAATTGAGAGTTGATAATTGGGATTAATAAAAGAAGATCGATTATAGTTGGGATTATTTTTGGCTTACACATAGTTCACATTTAAATTTGACCTGCGGCTATATCATATTGTAACAGGTTAGAGACTATTTTTGGAAAATGGTTTATACGGTTTGGACCACTCATGAATAATCGATAGTTAAGATTATTAATAATGGATCAGCAATAGTTGAGATTATTAGTTTCAATTTTTTCAAAATAAAAAGGCTGAACAATGGATGGTTGTTTGAATTGAAGAAAATTATATATCACGACAACTAGGGCTATGACTTTGGAACCAAGAACCGGAGAACCGAACCGGACCGAACCATTATGACCCGGTTCGGTTCGGTTCCAACATTTATTAGTTATTTTTAAACGGTTCGGTTCCTATTTTTTATTAATGGTTCGGTTCTCGGTTCCTGAAAAAAATATGTACTAAGAACCGTTAAGGAACCGTTATATATAATAATTAAAATTATATATATTTCTTATGAGTATAAATATATTTTTATGTATATTTACTTACTTATTTTTTCATTATTTTAGTTTAGTTATTCAACTATTTAAAACTATTATTCACTTCAACCGGTTCTCTTAAGCTTCTTAGGCCTCTCATTAGGTCAAAACTCCAGCGGGTCGGAACTTTGAAGGTCCAAAGTATTTAAAATTATTATTCTATTTAACTGTTTAAGCATATTTGTATCGTAATTTCAAACGTAGAATGTCTTTTTGACAAAAATTTAGTTATGATTTGTAAGAATTTTTTCGAAGACTAGGAACCGTTAAATGACAAGAACCGAACCGTTAAGAACGGTTCGGTTCTTTATCAGTTCTATAAAATAATTTATAAGAACCGAACTGTTAGTAAAATTTCATATTTTCAAACGGTTCCACATATTTGGCCTAGGAATCGAACCGGTCCCAGGCCTAACGGCAACCAAATAAATTGAGATAACAAAAATACAACGTAATGAGGTTATAAGGGAAAACATATCACAAATGCACACAAGGGGAACATATGATCAATAAAAAGTCACTTTCACGATGTTCTCACTCCAACTACTTTTAGACCTGTTGTCACTTGTCAAAAAAACTTTTAAACCCAATCTTACCCAATTTTAGAAAGTACTCCGTACTATGTAGCTAGTATATCATATACTAGTACTAAAATACGGATAGAGATCCTCTGCCATAAGGCAGAGTACCTTACTAAAACAAAGGGCAAGGATTAAAACTCAGCCCTAGAGATTTGTGCCAAAAATGGACCCACTCTTTTTAAGCCATTGATATTTTGATTTGATGGTTTAAAATGGCCAAGCACCCTCCTTGGCTGCCTAAGTAAGGCAGAGGAGCTGGATCCCTAAAATACACTTGGAATCCATTTGGTAATATCAAAACCCACTATATTCGTTGATTTTGAAAGGGCAGAATTTTCATCGATCGGAGATATCCATATTTTTCTTATTTTTCAGTGGATTTTTATTATTTTTATTAATTTGTTTAAAAAAAACTCAAAAAATAATTTGCCAACATTTTTGGTAATGCAATAAATCGATAATAATGACAGATTGAATGAGAATTTTGGCATTATGAAGAGTACTAGTGCCATTTTCTTGGCATTTTCGGGAAAAATGGAATTTTTTATAAAAATGGCAGAAGTTTTACCGATCAAAGGTGGTGGTGCTGCTGGGAGGCGGTGGGAAAAGTATCCATATATTTTTAATGGGGTTTTACTATTTTTTATTATTTTCTTAAAATAAAAAATTAAAAAATATTTTTTAACTTTTTATTTTAAAATATTTTTTTATTTTTTATTATTTTTGTACGATTTTTTTAAGATTTTATTATGAATTATAACATTTCATTATGAAATAATACCTTTGGGGCATTTCTGGTTGGAATCAATTGTTTAGTCCTATTTGAGATGGTTAAAATGTAGAAGTCCTATTTGTGCATTTTAGGTAATTTTTAGTATTATCTAGAGCAATTACTAAATCAAAATTTAAATTACATTTATGTTGGGGTCACTAGTCACTAACATACTCTCATGCAGCACTATTATGAATCGCCCACATATAAGTTGCCGATAAATAAGTTTTAAGGGTCTCTTTGCAAGAGCTTGAAAAATCGTTTCTCGGCGGCTTTTGGGTTATAAAAAGTTTAAATTAGAATTTTCGAGTGACAACTTCTACTTAAAAAGCGTTTCTCGACTTTTGGCCAAAAAATGTTGTTTTTCCATTTTCTATTACACAAAAGGCACATATTTTACCAAACACTACCGACATTTACTTTTCAAAATTACTTTTTCCCCAAAAATTTATCAACTTTTACTACTGATCAATTTTTCAAAAATCACTTCAAAAGGTGTTTTTCAAAGAAAAAGCATTTGCAATGTCTTGGAACATCTATAGTAGGGGCAAAAATACCGCACTTACCGTACCGAAAAATACCGGAAAATACCGAAATATTGGTATACCGTCATTTTCGGTACGGTATCATACCGTACTGATCTATTTCGGTACGGTAACGGTAAATGTTTTCAAATATCACGGTATACCGGTATAATACCGTACCGACTCCCTACTCAACAATGACTTTTAATTCTAATATATTGTAAAAATTCATTACAATTTTGAAGCCCAAAATTAATACTTAAGTTGGTTACAAATACAAAAATAAAGGCTCAATTTCTCAAACTCACTATAACCTTATAGGCTTCTACTACGCTAACCTTAATGACTAATGAGTAATGTTCAAATGTCAAGAAACAAGTCCATCTTGTTCCAAGAGTTCGCAAGTCATGATGGCTGGACTGCTAAGTAGTTGACGAGTGAAGAGAGATACACTTATGTGACAAGTGTATCTACATGGGGATTCCGCGAGTCGAGACACACAACTTTGTCTGAAAGTTTTATTCAATTTTTAAAAAATTATAAAAAATAACTAAATACACAATATCACATTAGGAATAAATGATTTTATATCCATGTTGTTTGAATATTTTTATTTATTTTTGTTAGAGATCACTATTGATTTAATTATATCTATATTATTCAAGTTATTTTAGGAGAATGTATTACTTTTTAATATGTGCCATGTTGAACTGCTTAAATATACTAATAATAAATAATAATTATTGTTCAATATTGAAATGACATCAATAGATTATTAATTGTATTTCGTAACAGTTTAATATTAGATTTAATATGTCGCTAGTAATAACGATTTAGTATATTTCGTTAGTCTATGATATTTTTTTGTAATGGGAGACATGCACGGCAATTTACCGATACCGTACCGTTATCAAACCGAAACTTTGGTATAACGAAATACGGTATATATACCGAAACTTCAGTAAGGTAAAGGTATGCAAATTTTGCATAACGAAAATTTTGATACGACAAAGGTATGAGAAAAAATATATGGTATACCGTACCGAACCACCCCTAATCTATAGTGTCACTATAAGCAAATATTTTTCTAGTAGTGTGATATGAAAAGTTATTTGTCAAAAATACTATTAGAAAGGTGTGAAATTATTGAATTTTGTATAAATGTATTAGTTAAATAGTTGGTCAAAACTTAACACATTTGACTGAAAAAATCAGATTAACTAAAATGAGACGTAGACAGTAACCATTATTTAAGGATATTAACCATTATAAATAAGATCTGAACATATGCGTGTTTAATTCACCCGTCTTACTAAGCTAATTGTAACTTTAGCAATGAAGTAAACAATATAATTCACCCGTCTTACTTCTTAGCATTTTTCATAAACTCGAGAGAAGTATGAGGACATCATCATTTTTGCTATAGTACCGGTCTATCTGATACTGATAGTTTTCCCCAAAGTAAAGAGATATTGTAAAAAATTAAGTTCAAAGTGATTCAAATTTGACTTGTGAAAATGTGAACTTAATTGTTGGGCGGAGGAACTTTGCAACATACCTTGTCAAGGTGTCTATTAGGACGCGTTCAAGCAATTTGCGCTAAGCCTCCTGATTTAAATGTCGAAAAATTTTAAAACATGTTAAATAGCACCGAAATTGATTGACTCGATTATTACACAAAAATCATATTTAAGCATATACATATTTGACCTAAAAATGTTCGACAAAAATGAGATATACTCGATAACTATATTAATAACCTCTAGCAAATATAAATATGTTAACTTTTATACCACTCCGTACAATGTTTTAACTTGTGTTACATTTTTCCATGTCTTTTACGGAGTATTTAAGTAACATTTTAGAGAAAAGTTGATAAATGTGCCGATAAATTTAAAAGGGTTTAATATTTAGTAAAATTAAATTTATGAAGGTTAAAATTGATAAATGAGCTTAAAAGGACCGGACAGCTGAACAATTTTGGATCAAAGGCGGAGAGTTGTGGTGGTAGAATTCCTAATCGACGGCAAATATGCATTTAATTATGTGTGGTGTGGTATAATGGGAGTAAATGGAGAGGCAGGGAGACAAAAGTTCTTAAGAGGTCAACTCAATACTTTACATCACTTTCATTCCAATTTAATCCAATCCAAGGATAGATAAAGATATCTAAAAATGGTTACTTGCTCAGATTATTATATTTGATTGTTGTGGTAATAAAATGGGTTATTGCTTAACTTACAGGACAAGAAATAGTGCGGTATGAGAGCCCACAGCCATTTATTGGGATCCACCGCTTCGTGTTTGTGCTGTTCCAGCAGCTGGGCAGGCAGACCGTTTATGCCCCGGGCTGGCGCCAGAGCTTCCGCACTCGAGAATTCGCCGAGCTCTACAACCTCGGCTCCCCGGTCGCTGCCGTCTACTTCAACGGTCAACGGGAGACCGGCACCGGAGGCCGACGCCGTTAGTTCATTCGCAATACATTATCATAATCAGCTACCGCAACGGCCCTTTGCTTCCTCTCGATCCCTACTATATATTGCTAGATAGCTTGTTGAATTTTTCCTTATAAAAATCATTAGTACCATTAGTTAATATTAGTTAATATTACTACTATATATTGTTACGTACTAGTACCATTACGACCATATATATATAGGAGCGCGCGAGTAACTGCCAATTATATAAACGTAGTTACTCCGATCGGATCCAATTATATTATATTGCGATTGTTTGAAGATTGTGTATTATGTGACATAAAATATGAGTATATCCTCTTCCGTCGTCATAATTAACCACCAAGTAGCGACTGTGGTGTACAGTTATCTTCTATCTACTCTGTCTCGTTCTACGCTAATAGACGCAATACTACTACAATAATTGTTGTGATTATTGGTACGTAATAACTTTGTTACTTCAATTCCAAACACCTGGCTTCCAATACTCCACTTGACATCGTCAACATATATAAGCATGACAAGGTGAAACGTCAATACTACCTCCAAATTTGACTTTTTTGGTGAAACTGTTTCATTTTATATTCTTAATTTGCATGTCAATTTTTAATTATATTCTATTTTGGAGTTTACAACCTTGAAAAGATTTTAATGTAGTTTTTGAATGTGTAAATTTTAATTATTAAAAATTGAATTAATTATCGATAGGGTCGGTTGACTTTTATTATTGCTTGACCAAAAAATATTAACTTTGCAAAACAATTTGGAACGGAGGGAATAATTTTTATGCAATCTACGGTATATATTTTACTGACAAAGTAAATGAAAAACTATAACTATCTCGAATGAGATCATATAGATTTATTACATGCATTAAAGTATTAATTTTAATACTCATATACTCCAAAAACTATAACTATCCGGAATGAGATATTTTACTTTAAAGTATTTAAGTATTAAATTATTCGTGCGGAGAGGTATCAACATATATTTAGAAAAAAAGAAAAGTGCTGGACAATGGATAGTTGTTTGAATTGAAGAAAATATAGATCACGTAAGCCAAATAAATTGAGATGACAAAAATACAACGGTTAAAAAGGAAAACATACCATAAATGCACACAAGGGAAACATATGATCCATATGAGCCCGTTTTGCAACACAATTTTTCGGTTTATCAGGCTTATTAGCCAACTTTTCACCATACACATAACTTTTACTTTCGCGCGCTGAATTGTGTAATAAGCAGCAAAAGTAAGGTTGAAGTTACTTTTCTGGCTGTATTGGATGAAGTTACTGTAGATGATCATTTTATCTATTTTTACATATAATTTTTTCTTTATTTTATTAATAAAATATATTTTAAAAATATTTTTTTCTTCAATCAACAGAATCAGCCAATGCAGCCACTTCAGCCAGAACTTCATAAATTTCAGCAGAATCAGCCAAATCAAACGATTTTCGTTCTACCAAATAGGCTCTAGTTACTTTCACGATGTTTTCACCAACTAATTTTGAACCCAAAATACAAGGCCGTCCTTTAAGAGGTGCAATAGATGTTTGGCATGAGGCTCACTTTTATAGGGGCCCGAAAAATTAGTATTTAGTAGTAACTATAAGTTGATTTTTCTGAATGTTATGTATTTACCCAAATTCCAAATGGTCTATAACTTTTAGATTGTCTAATTTATGTCCTTCAAACATTACAAAACTTATATTTCACTGAATATCTATTAATTCTATTTCTATCTCATGAATTTTGTATTCTTTCTTATTTTAGGAGCTCAATTCGCCATTTGAAACTGGGGCTCCTAAATTCATTAAACAGTTCTGACAAAATATGCATAATAATATACCATACCCCAAAATCTCAATTTAAGCAAAAACACCCCCAAAATCTCAATTTATGTAAAAACACCCTTAATGTTGTCTGATAAGGAGTGTCATGATAAAATAGCACTATATAAATATAGATCTGTCCCTATATATGGCACTAAAATAGCACTATATATAGGGACGGATCCATCCCTATATAAATTAAGGATGGATCTGTCCCTAATTTTTCTTACTTAATACAAATGACAAGGGGATTAAGGAAGTGAGTATTATGTGGTGAAGAATTGTGGAGAGACTAGAGAAATGTGTAAGCATTGATGTGAACTATGAATTTTTTACCAAAAAGAGAAAGTGAAAGTTTATTTGGAACACCAAAAAAGAAAAGTTGGAAGTTTTTCAGAGACGGGAGGAGTACTACGTAATTTCTATGAGTGACTCCAAAATAAATGATCCCCACAACTTTACTTCTAAACTACAATATCATTTGTTCAACAAAGTTTGAAAAGTCTGAATAAATACTACTACTACTAATAATAATGATAATAATAAATATAATATTAATAATAATAATAGTAACAGTAATAATAATAAATATTAATATTAGCTGATATAAGTGTTATTAATGTGAATAATCTAATTAATTAATAATATATATAAATCTTTATACATATATGCATTTTTTAAAATAAAAGGTAATGGATTTGGTTGTCTTCAAAATAATAAAAATTTCACAGGAGGAATTCTTAAAAGATAATAAAATTTAGAACTTTGTAGAAATGCATCATTGTGTAAAAACAATTTTTTAGGGATGATAGACAAAGATATGTCTGAAATAAAGGTAGTGAATAAAAATAAAGTTTTTTATACTTTACTAACTACCATATTAACTTTAGAAACCATGATTTTAATCAAGTATATACTTCAGCGACTATGCAAAGTAATCATAGTACTACATCCATTCTTTTATTTTGTCCTCTTAGGCTTTGGCACGGGTTTTAATAATAAAGTAGCAGGGTAAGTATAGAGTTGTAGGGTAAATGATAAAGTAGGAAAGATGGTATATTAAAAAGAGTAAAGTGATGATAAAGTAGGAAAGAGAGTGTATTAAGAAGAGTAAAGTGATGTTAAAGTAAAAAAGAGAAAATAGTTTGTAAAAAGTAAGTGAGGTAAAAGTAATAAAAGTGGGGGTATTTTCTCAAAAACTTTCCTTAAAGAGAAAAGGAGGACAAATAAAAAAATCCCAAAAAGGAAAGAAGAACTAATAAAAAAGAACAGAGGGAGTAACATTTTTGTCCAAAAATTATATTTCAGTAATATTTAAAGAAAATTTCGTTTGTTTATAACTAGTGTTTGGACCTTTAACATTATCATGTTAGCCATGAACTCAAAAATCGACCAAGGGCTTGTATGGAAATTATGAAATTACCTAAATGGCCTGAATTTGGTAAATTATGACTGAAAAAACTAAATTGGTTGAATTTTATTGAAGTATGAAAAAATTATATTCAAAATGCTCTCGGTCTCATATAAATTATCTAAGTTTGAATAATACATAGAATAATACATTAAACTGTGTTGTTTGAAGTTTGTGAAAAGGAGGGAGTTAATAAAAAACACAAAATAAAGTTGACAAGGTTATAAGAAGCATGGGAATATATGTTACTAATAAAATTAAGAAAACGTTATATGGAGAATAAATAAAAATAACTATCTTGAACAAATTTAAATTAAAAAAGTAACATAAGACTTATAATGATTATTACACAACCCATTTCATGAAATTAAGAGTTCAATGTTTGGTAAAAAATGATTGATTAACATACGAGGCCCAAATCCCCAGTGGTTTAGTAAGAATTTTTGTTGCTTGACTCAAATAAGTTGAGGAACCTCCAAAGGTTTGTTGGGATTAATTTATTTCACTCTTTAAAGGGGATTTGACCATAATATACAATTAAAATGACAATTTTGACAACAAAAATATGCATACCTCTTTTTTTTGGCAAAGTAACATATTTAATGTTATAAGACTAAGTTTGGTTTAAGAGACCATATATTTACAATTTGGTCACTTTAATTTAATAGATGAGTTCGTTATAGAAATTGCTAAAAAAATAAAACTAAATATATTTTATTACCCACATAGGACTTATTAAATCATTTTAAAAGAATAACTTGATTAAAACTTTTCAAAATAAGAGTAAATGAGTCCTATTTTAAAAATAAAACAACCATATTCCTAATTATCTTTGTTTTAGAATTTTCTGTAAAATGAACACTTCCCTATTTGAAATGGGTAAAGAGGTCTGTATAATAATCGCATCATTGTTAAAAGGACGCGTTAATTTACGCATTGAACGTGATGGGAGGGAACCTGCCTCACGAAAAAGGAGACCTCCCAAGCCAAGAAATCCAATAAATCTAAATGCAATGAAAGAGAACAAAAGACACTTGTTAGGATTTTTTGAAATCATTTTACTCAAATGTCCGGATCTGTTCAAGATCAGTGGCTGAAGGTTGGAAAAGCATCACGAAAAGATAAAAATGAGGAAACGGTGAGAGATTATCATCTTGATTATTGAAGAACTGTAAAGAGGTGTGTGTAGACGTACTTCACAAAACAACTCGCCAAATCTTGCTTCACGGCCGGCTGGAGAAGGTCCGGAGGAGGAGGTGGGTGGTCAGGATGGGTTTTGCTCTTCGCTGCGGAAAAAGAAAGGGAGGGCCATCTAGGGGGTAGGAGCTGACCGGTGAATATATTTTGGATGCGGCTAGGTTTTCACTATATATATAGCTCATTCTATCTACCCGATACACTCGCCCAATCGAGTAAGGGTGGGTACCGTCCACACGTAAAGGAAGTTGGGTTGTCCCGGTACTAAACCCTGTTTATAATAACGGTTCGGAATGGGATGGAATTCATAAGACGTTGTTCTTTTGTTCTCCCAATTAAATGGGACGGTTCGGGACATCCCAAAAAACTGTAGTGACAAATTGTAATCCCAAAAATAAAGCAAAACTATTTGGGGGGAAAACTAGTGCCAAAAACTCTATAGCACCTAATCTAGGAAATTGTGAGAAAAAAAATGCAACTAACCAAATTAGTTGCAAAAAACAAAAGTTGCAGCAAAAAACATTTAAGACAAAAAACTATTAAGAAATCCATAGAAAACTGATAAAAGAATACAATAGGAAGTGAAGCCTTTCGGAGTAAAAAAATTCTTTTTTGTAGAAAAATGATACGGAGTAGTTCATAGTTTAGTTCAAAGTTTTTTAGGTGTCATGTTGTTAACAACTAGTATTTTAATAAGGTGACAACTCCGGTACCTTTCTAAAAAGTGGGGTACCGTACCTAC